GAGTTAGGGGAAAGAGAAAAAATATTACAAGTGTGCTGCAATCACAAATGCTTAAAAATTAAATAGTTTAATTTATGTGGGGGTCGCACATTATAATTGAAGTCCTGATACAATTTTTTTATGAGTATTCCTCATGTAAGTTTAGGTGAGAGAATTAACTTATGTGTGTTTGTTTTGGGTGTTATTCCTTATGTAATTTTAGGTGAGAGAATTAAGTTATGTGTGTTTGTTTTGGGTGTTAGAATCATGATTTGGATGTAAACATGATATTGAAGTGTTTGGGATACCAACTTCATAAATATAATAGCCTGAAAGTGGTAGATACACTACTTCGTGTTGTTCAATTAGGCATTATTATCGTGATACCCTCACATCAAAGTTTCTTTATTTTCCCTCCTCTTGCCCTTGGTTCGCCCCTCTCCTCCTTTCCCAAAGCTTTTCGCCTCCTTCACCTTTCCTCGCTAGGAAGTCAAACTCTCTGAGGATTATGCGAGACCTTCCTTTGTTTCCTTGCCCTAGCTGAAGGATGGATTCTCTTAACTTCCTTTGTTTAAAGGTTTGTGGAATGGTTTAAAGATTACAATGGTGTAAGCATGATAGCCTTGCCCTTTGCAGCCCCTAATGTTTCCTGTCTTAGCCGAATGGTGGTTTTGTTTTTAACTTTTTTTTTTTTTCAGATTTATAGATTTTTTTATAGTAAATGCTTCATGGATTACAATGTTGGAAGCATGTTAGCCTTGCCCTAGCTTTTATTTCTCCTTTGTGGCTCCTAATGTTGTTTGCCCTAGCCAACACATGGTTTTGTTTTAACTTTTTTTTAAATATTTATGGAATGTTTCATGGTAAATGATTCATGTTTTTCATGTTGGAAGTAAGATAGGAAGTGTTGCCCACACTAGATAATTCATTATTTTGAGTAAGGTGGGTTCGATGCTGACATACTTTAAAATTACCTATTGTGTATATATATATATATATATATCATATTTTTGATGATATTGCCCTTTAATGAAAGTTATTTTACATATTTTTGATTTCAGGTGCAAGAAAAGGAGTTATGGAGAAGTGGCGCATAAGCGCCACTTCTAGCGCCACAGCAGACGCCTAGGCGCCAGAAACGATTACTCTTTTTATTCAATGAATTTGACCGAATTTTGAAGAGGAGTCTAAAGCAACTCTTGATGATTTTCAGAGCTTTACATATAGGGATGAAGTTCAAATGAAAAAGGAGAGTGTTGGAGAGGGCTAGAGTTCTAGGGGGTGTGTGTGTGTACAAGAGTGATTAGGGTAGATCCCCATTAGTTTGGACGGCTATCACAAGAGTGTTGTAAGTCTTGTAAGAATTTATTTGAGTTAAGAAAGTCAGAGAATTTCAAAGGATTGCTTGGGGAAGGGTTTGAGATTAGTATTTGTATTTTTGTTTTTATTTTGTGTCATGAACTTGAGTTTTAATATAAATCATGTTTTTGTTTTGTTATCCCCATAAATTTTGAGTAGTTTTACTTTTCTTTCTCCTTACAATAAAAAGTAATTATGTGGAGGATTTGATTTGTTTAGAATTTCTTTTATTCCCAAAATTGTGATGGTATTCTCATGGTTCTTTATTTATTTTGCAAACTGGTCATTTGTAATGTTAAAATCCATTGTGAAACATAATGACCTAGAAGAGCTATAATTTCACCCAACTAGTGAGTACCACATTAATCTTATGAGGATGGAGACCACAATCTAAGGAGAGTGCAAAAAGATAGGGAGATAAGTTTTGATAGGCGTTGAATTTGTGTTTCTAGGGTGACAGACTAGATCCTTTACGAATTTGATCTAGAGTTGGAACCTAAAGTCCTAGTAATTCCTATAGAGAGGGCACAATGGGTAATCTAGAAGTGAGTGCCTAAAATCTACTCAAGATTACCATACAATATGAAACCTACTTTAGATTAGCTAATGTTTTTTATGCACTTGGGTGAGGGCAAAGAATAGAACGCTCCTATTTGTCATAATACATCATTTAAACTTTTAAACCGTTTGATCCCAACACAAATTATGAACTCATTACAAGGGGAAAGATTCTTTTCCTAATTAGAACTCTCTTTTACATTTGGCATAGTTTAAAATTTTTGCATTTACATTTAGTTTTAAATAGAACTTGTAGGAAGTTAGTAGCTTTACTTTACATCTCAATTTGCTATGATTTTCTAGATTAATTTTTACAGTTTTAAGTAAAAGTTTCACTAAAAATCTATTCAAAGAATTACAGCTTCCCTGTGGGATCAATACTAGGGTTTTTTATAGAAAACTCTATATTGCTTGAAACGATACGTATACTTGTCTAGTACCTCTAGTTTGAAAACTATTATTCTATAATTTATAACATTTCATTTATTTACACTAGCTGCTAAATATAAATTGAGTCAAGTTTTTTGTCATCTTTTTGGAATATAAAAATCTGTGTAATTGCGGGTAGGGACAAGTTTTTGACGCTGTTGTTGGGGAAGCAACAAAATATTTTCTTAGACTTAGAAATTTTATTTAAAATGTGGAATTATTTTAGAAAAATTGTATGTTAAAAATATTTCAAAAAATATTTTCAAAACCAAAAAAAAATTGAAAATTTGAAAATTTATATAATATATATGCATGTGTAGTTCAGGATTTGAAGGTTTAATAGCTTACAATTCTGAGTTAGAACAAACAACTAGAAAAATCAAAAAATAAAAAGAACTTCACAAATTGCAAAAAATGACTAACATATCACATAATAATATTGATATTCAAACTGCTGAAAACGAACATCAACATGTACAAAAAACTTTAAGGGACTATGCAAACTCTACAGCTGATGAAATTCACTTAAGCAGACAAACCCTTGCTATAGCGGCTAACTCATTCAAACTTAAACCTACTATTATCCAAATGATATAAAATAATCACTTTGGGGGAACACTATCTGAGGATCCAAATTTACACATTGCAAGTTTCTAAAACTATTTGCTACATTTAAGTACGATGACATATCAAACGATGTCATTAAGCTTAGAATTTTTTTTTTCTCTTAAGGGATAAAGCTAAGATGTAGTTAAATTCATTAACATTTGGATCTATTAGAACTTGGGGAGATTTAGCACAGAAATTCTTAGTTAAGTATTTTTCACCTTAAAAAACTGCTAAGCTTAGAAATGATATTACCTCTTTTACTCAGTATGAAAGTGAGTCAATATATGAAGCTTGGGAACGATTTAAAGAACTCCTTAGAAAGTGTCCGCATCTTGCCTTACCATATGAGTTAATTATTTAAATATTTTATAATGGGTTAGTAGGATCCCTTAGATCTATTATAGATGCTGCGGCTGAAGGTTCATTAATATTAAAACTATTTGATGAAGCTTATGCTTTAGTTGAAGTGATGGCTAATAATAATTTTCAATGGCCCTCTGAAAGGGTAAATCTTAAAAAAGTATCCAATATTCATGATAATGATGCTATTTCTATTATAACATCTCAAGTTGTTGTGTTATCCAGAAAGATATACCAATTTGGTATGAACTTTTCTCAAACATCTCATGTGATTGAAGAAAATTCATTAGGACAAATGATTGATTCTCAACCATCATTAGAAACTTCAATGTAATTAACAATATAGCCAATAACCCATATTATGACTATTACAACTTAGGTTGGAAAAATCACCCCAACTTTAGTAGAAATATAATTATGATAGTGGAAATCAGCAATGGGGGAACAATCAAGCGAGGCCATTAGGAAATTGGAACAACCAAGGAACTACAAACTATAGACTTTCTTATCATCCTAGCTTTAATAACTAACAATTTAAGGAAAAGAAGTTGTCTATAGAAGAAGTGATGTTACAGATGGGTAATCAATTATAAAGACAGAGTGTTGTAATTAGAAACATTGAAAATCAACTGGGACAAATTGCTAATGCACTTATGAATAGACCTCATAGGACACTTCTTAGTAATATTGAAATAAATCCAAAAGACAAAAACAAAGAACAAGAGCAAGTTAAAGTTGTCCAACTCAGAAGTGAAAAGAATTAAATGTTGGAATTCAGAAAGAGATTGAAGTTATGAATTAAAGAAATCTAAACCTAAAAATAATTAAAATTATTAATTACAAAACAAAAGTTTTCCTTAGTAGGACTGAATTAATAGAATTGAGTCCAAGGAATTGGATTTTATGACAGAATTTAGTAGTTTAGATTAAAGCAAGAGATTTATTTTGAACTACTGAAATATGATTAAAGAAGGCGACTATCTTGCTCTCTTAAGACTATAGATTCTCTTTTTTACTTACATAACATACCTACCTCTCAGTAATAAAATTCAATGCAAGAGAACATCTTTGATGCTTTCTAAATCTTGATAAAGACTATATGGATTCATCATAATTATCTTTAACCTACCATCCATCCACCGTGGTATATTTCTCATGATGAATTTGTTCCCTACTTTTTTTCATCAAATAAACTTATTGTATCAACCAATGGTCAATCAAATAATATAACATTTAAACTTTGAGCGAAATATATAGTGTCTATAAAAAACAAAAACTCAAATGCTTTAATAAAAATAAATAAATAATTTAATAAATCCAACACCTAAAAAGAGAGTTTAACTCATGTTTAATTAAAAAATTAATAGGATTTAAAACCTCAAACATGTTTATAATTGGAAACCAAAAAAGTAAAAGTAAATCGTTATTCTTGAGCTTCAACCTTTGCATTCAACTCCAATTGTCGTTAACCAAGTTCGTTTATGAACCTCATATGAGTTTCCAATAATCTAATTTGATTTATGCCAAAAAGCTTTTATCCCTTGGGTAAGCCTCTACTACAGAGTGGGACCTTCACATTGCGTGTTAGCATTTAGAAGTTGAGCTCTCAAATTTGTTAGTCTACTTCTGGCATTCAGGTGTCTTATTTCAGTGAATAGGTAC